AAAGATAAGCCCCACCCAGTGTCTTGAGTACTCAGGACATTCAAAGATGAAGAGACTTGCCTCCGGGATTGTTGACAGATTGAAGAAAGAAAAGGGAACTCTTTGGAATTCTGAATTTTGAACTAGTGGTTTGTGCTTGAGGGAAAAATCTGGGGCCAAAAAAGAGATGCTCTGCTCTAGGACTGAACTGTTAAAGGGAGTCTGTGGGCAGGCTGAAATTCTTGCTAGTTGACCACCTGGATCCACTTGTTGAGTGGAAGTGGAAGAAATGCAGCAATAAAGAGATAGGTTGAGTCTAGCCACTGACACCTATGGACCTAGTTATAGGAACTCGAAGAGAAGATGAGAGTGGGTTGGCTGGTCTGAACTTTATAGAGTTGTGTGGAACCTGAGCCTATGGCATGACCCAGCCTGAGGGGGATAGGGTTGTTGAGGATTTGTGATGGAGCCAGTGGTCTAAAGGAAGTCAATGGGAAGCCTGATGAGGCTAAGTAAGCAGCCCACATTAAGTTGGCCAGAACCCAACCAGATGAAGAGAAGATATTTGAGCCTGTGAACTGGTGCATATTGCTGCTGACTTTATGGATGGCCTATAGTGATTTGACTTTGCTTATGGTTGTTACCGTCACTAGGTTCCAACTGGAATGAAGATTCTTCACATCAAGGGAGACATGATTGTCTCCTCAGAGCACTGGGTTGTTGTAAGTGTGAAGAATAGAAATACTCAAAATGGGGAGAATGGAGGCATGGAGTGGCTGGCTTACAAACTTTCATAGGTAGGGGAATCTATTCATAGGATTATAGGATTAAGGTGTAGGTGTTACTAAACTGCAGCTATTAGGCATAGAATATTGTTATGTTGTTTATTTATAGAGTATTATGCTTAAATGAGGCTTTGGCACATATTGAATTGTATGCATTTTAGTTTTATACTGTTAGGTACAGATATGATTTTATTATTGTTTGTTTGAAAATTATATATGGCTAAAGAGTTGTGTGAAAGTGTCAAGTTGACAAGGGGTGGTCTGTGGTAGTTATATAATCTGGTGTCAATTTGTGAAAGGATGGTGTCCAGCCTGTCAATCAGGTCACAGCTTGATGACCTCATCTGGAGGCACCACGGAGATAGACAGCTCACTGGGGACAGATACACTGACTCCCTGGAAGAAAAGGAGCTTGATGGAGCTATACTGATGCAACCAGAGCCCTAGAGCCATGTGGAAAACCGCACCAGTGCTGAGATGCTTCAACCGCCATTGGATCCATAGGACTTTCCACCCACTGGGCCTGTGATCTTCCTGCATTTGGCATCATTACATGTGTTGCATTAGTCTGAAGAGGAATTTACAGACTGGTACTGGATATATGGGCTAATATCGGACTTATGGACTTGACCTGGACTGGACTGGCCTGGGATGTTTTCTTAATGTAAAATTACTCTTTCTATAAAGTTCTTTCCTATACATGTATGCGTGTCTATGAATTTGTTTCTTTAGTCTACCCAGACTAACACACTTACCAAAGATTAAATTTAAATATTCTTAAAGAAGCACATTGAATAAAGCACAATAATCATTAGAATTGTTAACAAAGTCAAGCAAGGTATGAGGTAAGGAAACCCAGGAGAGTCATGTTTCCTGTTTCTAGGGTACAGCAGTCTCATGTAAATTTGAACTGTATGTCACATACTGGCTTACAGGTCTATACTTAAGAGATGGCCCTTTTTATTTCTTGGTACTTTCAAAGTTAGTTTTATTGAGATATAATTAACATGTCATACAATTCAGTAGTCCCATCATATCTAGAAGGGTGGAATGATTGTCACTATAATCAACTTTGGAACCTTTTCTTTGTTCTTGTACAAAATAATGGTGACTACCCATTTCCTCCACCCTCCTGTTCCATACCCTCAGGAAATCATTAATTCAGCTAATATCTTCATAAATCCACCTATATCAGCTTTCCTATACAGAAAAATAGACAAAGTAAAGACAAAAATAAAAAAAGGACCCAACAACAATGGCCATCTAAAACAGAAAAAAGACCTCAATCTAAGAGAAAATTAAAATTTCAGAATAAATTAAAAATGCATCCAAAGGGAGAGCTAATGACTAAGTACTGCTGCTAAAATCCACTTTACAAGGCTCTTTCTCTGATATTAGGGCTGTTCACATTCCTAGTTTATGGAGTGCGAGGATTCATCAAAGACTCAAATCTACATAGGAACCCTGCAAATGGATTTTAGGTTTCCACTGTCATCTGTAGCATTCCTCAAAACGGAGTGTTTAGAATTTAAGCACTGACACCATACCTCCATCCTGCTTTGGATCTTATCATTGACAATCCTTGGATCACAGAGACTGGTGTGCTTCTTCCCTGTGGACTTAGATGACTACTTTTTTAGATGGCTGCTTGTTTTGAGACAAGTCTTTAGGACTCCAGAGTCCATTTTTCCCCCTGATAGACGGGCATCACATAATTTCTTCACTACACTCTGCTATGGAACCCAAATTTCCAGTAATATCCTTATGTGGGTGAATACTGGAGTCAAGTCACAAGAAATTGTTCTTATATTAGGGTTATGATCAAGTGACAACTCAAAATTCATTCATATATGTATGGTTTCTATATGTTCCTGGTTTACTTTTAGAAACATCATTGTTATTTTATTGTAGTAAATCACAAATCATCTACATGAGGTTTAAGGAGAATCTATTGATAGTTACATTATTTTAGTCAACAGTAAAACACTGTTGTGCACAAGAATGTATATATATGTAGGACTTCATATTTGACTCCAAAACATTAATTTTTAACTTGTATATATCTTCAAAATGTGGGGTGCCTAGACACTACTTACATGAGCGATCAGACCTAGAGATATAACACTTTCAATAACATTTATGAAGGCAGAGCCATGCCTGGTAGACTAATGCATGTCATAAAAACCAGAGTGGGCTTCAAAAAAGCAAATACATGTTGGTTTTGGGTCACCAATTGTTGAACACCCTCAAAACAATTCTTGAGACTACTAAAAGTCCAATAACTAACTAGTCCCTAACATTGGGATAGTGGCTGTCTGCTTCTTCTCCTACTAGTGCATTTCAACTTAAGGTTCAAGGGAGTATTTCAGTTTCTTAGTTCTGCTACAAGGGGGTTTAAGATAAAGTTCAGTTTGCTTAATGGGATTTCCAAGATGGGTCCTTCTTGTGTGGTCTATGAAGGGCATATTATATCTTGAAAGAACAGACTCTAATGGCCCAGTTTCCTGGTTATTAAAAGCTGATTAGAAACTAGGTTAAAGTGTCTAGGTAGGAACATAATACTTGGCCTATTTTCCCTTTGGGGTGTCTAGAAGTTATGCTAAGCATTTTCCTCAATTATGGGGTGCCCCACCCAGTTTACCCAACATCAGAAGTATAATTACTTCCTCAGATACATACAAGTTCCCCCCTTCTATTGATATGATTTCCCAGTAAGAATCACTAATTATTTTCATAGGATTGTCTGTTGATTTGGGATGACTATAGAACACTGTTAGGTGGCAGGAATTAATAGATCTTCTCCTTCTCCCCACAACATGGGGAAACTGACATCATGTGGAGTGATACCACCTCTCTTGAGGTGGTTTCTAAGATGTTCTAAAAGGAGGGTGATAAACAGTTTGGGAACTAGGTAGGCACACTAGTTTGTTGCTTGGGCGACCAGAACCTGCCTTTGTCTTGTTTTTTATGCTTACTGAGAGTGTCATGGGCTCATAGAATATTTGTCATTTTGTGACTGACTAACTTCCCTCAGCATAATGGTTCCCAAATCCACTATGTCATGGGGGCATTTAGTGCTTTTATTACTGTTTTTTAAAGGATTAAGAAACTGTTCTACTGGGGGTCTATAACAGAGTTTCTTTATCCATTGTCCAATTGATGGTCATTTGGGTTGTGCTCTGCTTCTTGCTGTTGTGACCGTGCTGCAATGAACACGGAAGAGCATACATCTGTTTGTTTTCTGTCTTTTACTTCTTTGGGGTAGAGGCCCAGCAGAGGTATTGCTGGGTTGGGGGTCTCCAGGGCTGTCTTCTTTTTAATTTGGGTGTACCGTGTATGGTATGAAGGAGCCTTGGGGAAATGGGTTACACATTGAGCTGTTAACCACTAGGCCAACAATTTCAAATCACCAGCAGGTCCACGGGATAAAGGCAAGGCTTTTTACTCCCATAAAGATTTACCATTTCAGGAACACAAAGGGGCAGTCCTGCCCTGTCCTATAGGCACTTGGTGAGTCAGATTCCACTCAATGACAGTGAATTTGTTCAAGTTCTTTGTGTGTGTGTGGTAAGTAGGACCTGGAATGATCTGCCTAGAATGGACCAAGGGCTGATTTTTGTTGACATTATCTAGAGAAGTTATGAAGAAAATATACTTTTTTTTTTCAGAAGGGGGGTGGGGTGGGGTGGGTCCTAGAAGTCTGCTTTTATCTAATCTAATTTGGACTTCGAATTTCCAAAACGGTGAGAAAATTCATTTCCATTTTCTAAAACCGTTTTATTGATGTGGTTCTGCTATCACGGCAGCTCTAGGTAACCCAGGCCATGCTGTCTGGTCTTGTGCCATCTTCCCCACTGTTAGAATACTCAAGTCCAGTATTGTGACCACTGTGTGTTTTGAGTGCCTTCCAGCTTAGGGGCTCATCTTATCAGACAAGAGTTTATGATGAGCCATAAGGTTTTGACTAATTCCTTGGAGTCTATTATAAGATCTTTCTTTCCAGTCTGTTTTATTCTGGAAATTCCACTGAATCTGTCCACCATGACCGACTCTATTGGTATTTGAAATAGGGAAGGCACACAGCACAATACCATAGCAACTCGCAAGCCACCACAGGTTGACAAAATGACAGACATTGTGACCCTGTATTTCCACAACCTGATATTTCTGAATAATAAAACAATAATTACCAAATAAAAATGTTTTGGACTGTGATAAGCACTAAATAATTGCAGATGACATAATACAATATTTTATTTATTTCAGATGGCATAATACAATATTTTATTTATTATACAAACATACAGACAGGAAATTCAAAGAAGATAAAGATACAAATATAGAATCTGGTAACCAGTTGCTTTGGATAGATCTCTTAGGCCATGATCATACTCTTGTTATTTCCACACCAGAGGCTCGATGATGACATATCCATTGATCTCATAATTCAGATTCTCCCAGTTCAGGATACTAGGACTGGTGGGAAAGCCATCATATGTAGACTGGATCTCATCTTTACTCAGTACAGAATCCCACATGTACAAATCCCCAATCTCTCCCACGAAGGACTGTTCCTTTTTAAATCCACCCCCATAGGAGTCCTGTTCTTGCCCCAGGATAATTTTGGGGCTAGCCCCCACAGAGTACCCCCTCTTCAGACCCTTCTTCACTGCAGGTTTCCCGTTGACCCAGAACTGGGCAATGCCCGAAGCGGACTCCCAGCTGGCACAGATGTGCACCGGGACAGGGAAATCCTCAAGCACGTTAAATGTCACTTCACTCTGTCCAATGTATAGGTTATACACTCCAGTTCTCACTTTAAAAATTAATAGTTCATTATCCTTCTCCTTTGTGCTGTAGGAGAAGAGGCTATAAGGTCGTGAAAGATCACTGTAGGCTCGAAGACACAAGGTAAAATTCTGCAGAGGTTGATCCAGCTGGGTGATCAAGCTCACATGGTCCCTAGAAGATTCTCTAGGGAAAACAAGCACCTTCCCACTCAGGTCTGTGAAAGGAAAGGGAGGTGGCAATATGAATTTAGGGAAGAAAAAAAATCACAAATCGAACCACTTTTCTCATCCCATGCTCCCTGACCAACTTCTGACCTCCTTACCTGTCTGAGCAAAGGCTCCTGTGAGAGTGATAAGGACAGAGACCCAGAGCAGTAGCTTGTCCATATGCTTGGCTTGGGATTGTTGCAACAGCACTGGTGATCAGAACGAGGGCAGCAAATGGCACTGTGGCTGTGTCCACCTGGGTTCTGATGCGGTTATGTGGGATTTTCATTCTCCTGATCTCAGACTTTCCAGTTTATATGCACATTTGGGTGAGGGCGGGGATGAAGAGCACCAATAGTAATGAAGGATTGTCCTGACCTGCTCCTTGGTGCCAGAAATCAGAGCTGCTGAAGGACAAATAGGGGGAAAGGCTCCAGGCCGGGAAATCAATGGGAGTTACTTATTAGACGCCAGTGACTGCCAGAATTCAACTCCTTTGACTCAGATTCCAGTGCTGGAGGCAAGTGAAATGTCAGGAAAGAGAGTGGTTCATAAGTGCAGGATTATTGATGGCACGAGCTGCCCACGAAGCTATGTTAGGAAGAGCGGGCTTCACTCACTAGGGTCTCGCTGTCTAATGACCATGTGCTCTGCCAGGAACACCTTACGCACAGGGAGAATCTCCCTTACTTGAACCTCTCCTGGGGTGTGGGTGCAAAATACTTACATTCATTTAGTGTTGTGGAGAATAGTCTTCTGTCTGAAGAACATCCTTGGATTCGGATTTCTGCTAGAAATACTGAACATACTTTGATTATTTTATTATTATAATGTCCAGGCTTTGCTACCGGAAAGGCGGGAACTGGAGCACACCTGTCCTCTATCCCAGAAGCTTAGTATTGTGAACTTAGTGTCATATATTATTCTTTGACTCTTTTTTCTCAGATCTTCTCATTTCACATTATGACTGATTTTTTCCTGGTGATCTGACTAATCCTGGAGATATTTCCTTAGATGCTGGCATCTTGTTCGCTTATCTTGTTTGCTTCTTTGGGTCCCTGGTTATTGAATGTGAATTTATAGCCATGTCTGTTGATGATCAAATGAATTTCTCAGACTCATATTTATTTAATTATCCCCAGGCTCTAAACTAAGTTGGGGTTCATGGTAATTTGCTTCCGTGAAACCAGTGACTTCCATCTTTAATCCTTACTCCTCCACTGAGAATATCGTGCTTCAGTAGCCATCATTCAAAACTGCTTTGCCTTTAAGATATTAAATAGAAGCTCCCCTCTCTTCCCTCCTCTCCCATTTTCTAAATTCTATGTACTTTTAAACATTCTCCTCCTAATGTCCAGTCTCTCGATCATTTCCTTTTCTGTCAATTTATTCCAGGTCTTATGATCAGCCTTCTCAGTGATACAAGAACTGCCACCAAGAATTCCCATCAGTGTTCATTCATTGCAGCACTTTTCACAAGAGCCAAAATGTAGAAACATCAGCTATTCCAATCAAAGGATGAATGGGTAAACAAAATGTGGTATATACACATAATGGAATATTACTCGGCCAAATAAGAAAAACTATGGTACATGCCATAACATGGGTGAACTTCAAAAACATTATGTTGAGTGAAATAAGTCAATTGTGAATGGAGGAAGACCATATTATCTCACTTATATGAAAGAATAAGAAGAACAAAGATTATTCTTTGTTGCCAAGGGTTGATGGGGGCCTTGGTGGTGCTGGGTTAGTTCTTGGCCTGCTAACCACGTGAGTGGCATTTCAAACTAACCATAGGCTCTTTGAGAAAAAGATGAGGTTATCTGCTCCTTGTAAACATTGATCGTCTTGGAAAACTCATAAATCATTACTATGAGTTGGAATTGACTGGATGACAGTGATTTGATTTAGTTTTGGTGCCAAGATTGAAGGAAGGAGAAAAGAAGGAGTATTTGCTTAAGAGGAACTGATTTTGTTAAAGGCTTGTAATAGAAATAATGGTTGTGCAACCACAAGAATATAATCATTGTCACTAAAATATACATAAGCAAATTGTTGAATGGGAAAATCTTTGGTTGTGTCTATTTTAACCCCCCACCTGAGAAAACAAACTTATAGAGAAGTGTCTGGCGCACATGAAGGGGTACCCCCTAAAAAACTGGAATTCCGCTGGGCAGATTGGATCTTTAGAATAAACATTTTTTTTCCCACTAGGCAAGCATTGAGCAACTCACTCTCAGTTAGTGCACCTAGTGGTGTCACCTGGGAAAGTTCTATCTGGTCACAATGAATTTTTTAGTGACAACAGCATCACTCAAATCTTGTTTATCTGTGTGTGTGATGCCTGATTTAGGAGAACAGCATGCAGCTATGAAATTTTATTTCCTTCTCAGGAAAAATATCACAGAAACTGTTGTGATGTTGAACACAGCTTACAAGGACAGTGCTATGGGGAAACTCAAGTGTACAAGTGGGTTTCTCATTTTATAAAAAGGCGAAATGTCTATTGATGTTAAGTCTCATTCTGGACATCTGTCAACTGATGAAAATGTTGACTCATAGTGCATTTGGAGTTTGTTCCACCAGGTCAGACTGTTAATCAAGCTTTCTATTTAGAGGGTCTGAACAGATTGTATAACAATGTGTCACAAAAAAGGCCTGATTTGTGGTAGACGGGGAACTGGTTTGCCACCACAACAATGCACCTGCTCAGTTAGCCATCTCAGTGCACCAGTTTTTGGCAAAAAACAGCATGCCTCTCTTGCTCCACCCAACTTACTCACCTGACCTTGCTCCATGTGACTTTGTGTTTCCTGGAACAAAGAGGGGCATTAAAGGAGAGAGATTTGAGGACATAGAAGAGGTGAAGAAAAAAAACAAACGAGGGAGGTGCTGTCAGCCATCCAAACAGATGAGTTTGAAAAATATTTCCAAGAATGGAATCGCAGATTTGATAAGTGTATTAAATGCAATGGAGAGTACTTTGAAGGTGATATGGTTGTTTTGTAAAAAAAATTAAATACATAGCTTTGGGAAAAAAAAATCTGCTTTTTTGGGGGGTACCCCCTTACAGCAATCTTTCCATAAAGGGATGTGTTTATGATAATGATGATGATTTAGAAGTCTTTTATGTACATTAATATCTTTAAAATGTTATAGATATTCATGTATTTATCTTATAGTTTTCGCATGGAAATTTCTGGGAAGAAGCGTATCAGGAGTAATTATATTTCAGTCACATATTTTATCTAGCCATTTCTAATGCATATAAAATGGAGCCTGGTACATAATTTTAAATTAGAAGATTTCAAAAGGGAGAGGACTTTTTACATAAAACAGTTAAATAGCAATAAAAAGTAGAATACAGCTGCATAATAGGAGCAGGCAATGAGAGAAGTAGGAGCCGGGAGGTAAGTTGTACTGGGAACCCTGGTCCTCTAATTCCCTTTCCCAGATGTTAATTAATGAGTGCCATAAAATTCACAGAACATAAGGTTCACTGACTGCTTCTATTTTTCATCATAAATTAATAAATTAACACTCTATTAATGACCACCCAAACACGCAGTGCAGATCAGAGTGGAACGGACTCTTTTCCAATGAGAGTGAGGGCGTGAACTGGATGGGGTTCCACAGGAAGCTCCACAGAAGTAGAACTCTGGGATGGAGTCACCAGGAGAGGCTGCAGATAAGGAAGTTTATGTTGTTGTTGGGGTCAAAGGCCAGGGTTCATAGTTGAACATGAAAATATTGTATTCAGACCCGGTGACAAGTTCAGCCTTGTTGGAAGATAGGGTTCAAAGTAGAATGGGGCAAAGGTATGGAGCATAGGAGACCTGATTCCGTGGTTTTGTTTCCTTGTCTGAAATACGTATTTCAGGACTTGGTGCTACAGGAATCATTTAAGAGGGAACTGAGGATTATTTTCTCCTATTCTGAAAAAGGAGGCTCTGATTTCAGAACATAGGAAAATCCAGGGTCTTCAGACCTGGGTGGAGTTTTCAAGGTGAACTAATCTCTGCTGTTGCTGCGAGGCTCTTGCCTGCCTCCCTGCTAGTGACCAGTCAGAGGAGCCATCGTGGCTTCTGCTTGGGTGGCTCTGAAAGGAGTGAAAGTTGGGGCAATGAAAGGTGACAATACACTGCATAGGTTCAGGGTCACCTCTGTGTTTCAAACAGAGCTGTCCTAGTTACATTAGTTGGAATACAATAAAATCTGATTTAGGAGAGGATACAGAGATGGAATTGGCATCACTCAAAAGAAGGTCTGACAAGCTCAGAGCTAGAGAATGGCAGAGGTAGGAGATGCAACTGAAGATTTCTTGTGGGATCAAAGAATATCTTAACGATTCCTTCTAAGACATTTGGGTGATAAATGAGCTGGAATAACTACTGGGAAAAATTGGATATGAAGAAAATGAAGTAGAACAGAGGGTAAAACAGGATTTTGGTGCTAATTAACAATTCTTCGTCATGCATTCTGTTAACAGTAAAGACATTTTAGTACATTTATTTGTAATAGACGAAAGAGCCAATGGAAATATAAAGAGTAGCTGGTTGTCACACCTGGTGCGTGGTGGTATAAAATTAACGATATACAATCGGAGGCTGATGGAAAGGTCTCATGGAAAAGGAAGAACAGACTAAGATGAGATTTTATATATATACAGAATATGGAACAAAATTAGATTTAGGTTGAGGTTGATTTGGAAAAATACAGAGTCACTGGTGAACATAAAACAGTTAGAGAGGAAGGTAATGTGGAGAAGGTAGAGGATGGAAGATTATCTGGGTTCCCCAAATGCTAAATTTGAAATGACAGTGTGACCTACACCTCAAAAAGATGTGTGGAGAATTTGAAATATGTGAGTGCCACTTGGGATTAGAAATATAGGTTTTAGAGGAATCAACATATAAACGATGATGAAACAAAAATGGATGATCTTTCAGTGGAGGAGAAATGAGCGAAAAGGTCAGGGAGCCAAGCACTGACTTGAGGAAACATTCAAATTTGTGAGCTTGGAAGAAAGAAGTTCAGGAAAGGAGACAAAAAAGAAAAACAAAAAGTCTGGCAGAGAGAAGGTGGTGTGTGCAGTGCCATGGCGACCCGGTGAGAGCCAGTTTCCAGAAAGCAGCGTCCAGTGGCATTATCTGCATCAGAGAAATCTAAGTAGAAAGAAGGCTAGCTTTAGCAATAAAAACTTCATGAGTGACCTTTGAAAGAGCAATTTCAGTAAAGTGAGTGTGGCAGAAGCCAGGTTTCAGCGGATGATGG